ACCTTGCTGTTATATAAAATTAACATAACATGTAAATGTAAAATTTAATAAATTGTAATGTATATGAATCCGATAAAAAATTTTTGAAATATTTTAAAAAGTAAAATATAATGAAAAGTAGCAGTAGTCAATACTAGTAACGATACTATTATAAAAATTATTATCGTTATTCGCATATTTATTTCATTGTATGGCTTTTTCCAAGGTTTATATTATTCTAATTCATGATTATTTTTTAATAATGCTGTTTCTTCTACTCAAACTCATCAGAAAGTCCCCCACACCCATGGGTTCATGAGAAGAATATTGAGAAAAGTAACGACGAAGCGTATTTTCATTTTATCCGGATTTGAACTTACGACCCTCGAATCTTAAGTCTAACACGTTACCACTACGCCACTTAATCTTTGAGAATACAGTGGTTTCATTTACGTATCGAGTTAAACATTCGATTATATATCACGGCATAACACGGCATTGGGACTGTAATATAACGTCACAATTGTTACGACTATATTATGTCCTTGTGACCAGAAAATGTTACTATAAACAAAACGTCACAACAGTGATTCGTATGTTGTTTGTTATGTCGCAGCCGTTACCTCAGTGTAACATATGTAGCATCAATAAAATGAAGTAACATCAGTGCAATTTAACTTACGATACATGTATGTTATATAGGCACCAGAATACGTAAATTATTTTACATGGATATTATATTTTGTTACATAGCTTAGCAATGTTGCTCATATGTTTATGGATATGCTTATTTGCAAGACATAACTTATGTTACATAAATGTAACATTCATGGTACATAACTTTGTTACAAGTATACCATGTTAAATGTATACATAGATTTTATTATATATAACGTTCACGTTTTAATTTTCAATATCCGTTATTCGGTAAAAAATGAAAAAATTAATTATGATAAATCGTTGATCATATAAAATAGGGCACGGGTCCCTAGTGCACTACAATATACCCATTAATAACATAATTATTCATCTTGTTATCTATATTATTAAATTCAATAAAAATATTTACATATGCAGACCAATATTCTTGTTTAGATACCAAGTATTAGGATGGCCGCACGGGTTAAGGCGTAGGTTTGAATCTCCTTTCGAAATCTCTAGGCGAAAAATTTGTTTACAGTAAAAATTTAAATTAAACTTAAAAAGAACAGAAATTAAGTGATACAAGTAGAATTTAGTTATATTAGCAACATCAACCATTAAAAATTTTCTTTTTGATACAATATAGTGAGTATGTCATATTTGTAACATTACATCTATATTACAACGATATAACAGTGTTTATTGGAAATTGTACAATATTTTATCTATTTGTAACATCAAAGTTATTTTTTCCTGAAATATAACAAGGATATAACAAAGTTACGTCACATTGTTATGTTTATGAGTGGAAAATTGTAAATTACTTGTGAGTTATATGTGACTCACTTTTTATGTAACATGTGACTTTCAGTTCTGTCACGGTGACATAAAATTTACAGAACAATTTTCACTGGGATACATAAAATAAAATGGAGATAATGAGACCAAATAAAAACATGCGGAGAAAAACAGATGAAGATGAAGATAAAATCAGATAAACGGAAGCTTAAGGGAGAAACACAGAAATTGACGCACAATCAAGGAAGAAATTCTACTAATTTCGGAGTAAAATAGGACAAATCATCAATTTTCGATATAAAACGGAATTTTTCGACTCACATATGGCTATCTAATCAATTCCTGATAAAACTATAGTACGATATTTTGTCAGTCTATGGATAATATTTCCAGTCAATAATCTCAATAATCGTATACATGTTTTATTCAGGACGAATATTTGTTATAAATATTTTCTTTTTATCTCAAATATTTTTTTAATGAAAGTACTTTTTGATATTATTCTGCCTTCGAATAATAGTTAACTATTTTTTATAGCTTTCATTTTGATATACAGACTACAAGTATATTATATTTGTAAAAAAAAAAATTCATCAAAGTTCATAAAAATATTTTATATAACACAGGCAATAATATAATCCCTAGTAAGTAAAGTACTCGGACTCGCGGTGAGTACTCGGTAAAACTGGTTTACTTCTGCTGTAAAAAATTTTTTTCACATATCTTATATATGCAAGAAAATTATTCGCCATCAGAAACAATGTCACTTGCACTATTATCACAAATTTAGTGAAAAAACACCACAACTCAAAACACTTCTACATTTTTCACACAGACTGACCAACTTGATCGTTCCTCAAAGAAGTTTAAGAAAATAGTAAAGTCGAATATGCACGGACCTCAAATGTATCCAAGGAGTGCATACTCTTAAATAGAAAAAGAACGATTTTTTTTTGTCAGTTATGGGAGTTGAGGCCAATTTTATTGCTGTATAGAATTTTCCCGAGTATCAACAAGACTGCGCTCACGTGTTCATTTATAGTTATCCGAATAGTAGGCATATGTGGTCGGGAAATTTTAATCCTGAGCCTGGCATTTATTTAACTAGGTGTCGTCGATTTTTTTCACAATGAATGAAAGAGACAAGACAAGAAAAGGGCTCTTAGATCCCTTGATAGACAATGTACTATTATATAACTCTAACATAGTCACAGATTTTGTATCAACTAAAGTTAAGGACGAACGCCATAATCGTCACCCGGAAAAATAAAATAGATCTACATTTTCGCCATTGTTTAGATCTAATTTGATCTATTCATATCTAAAAAACGAAAGAAAATTTTATTTAAGTCTATCTATATCTAGTGAGATCACTAAATATCTACACAAATTACTGTATATCTATGGAGATCTCCATTGATCTCAATGATAAAAAAATTTAATACATCTACAGAGATCATAGAAGATTTTAAGTGATCAAAACAGATCTACACAAAACAAAGTAGATCTAATTGTTTCAAAAAATAGATCGAAATAGATCAATGTAGATCTATTTTATTTTTTCCCGGGCAATGATTCTTTGATCATTGATGATTTTTCTATTTCAGTATTTTCAAATGAAACACATATAGTAATTTTTTTTGAATTTTAATGTCATAAACAATCTATAAAATTGTCATAGTGAAATTTCAAACGGTTTCAAGTGTTGAAATGCTTACTATAACAATTCTATAATTTTCTAATGATAATTAGACTTGATGAAATTATATCATGTGTTTTATGTTAAAATATTTAGACGGAAAAAATTTTCTAGGAATTTCTACTAGTCATTTTAGAGTAAAATTTACTAGTTAAAAAAGTTAAATATTACCAGTAGTAGTAGTATTTTCATTACATGCTCGTCAAAGCTTTTGCAATTTCCTTACAACTCAAGACATACCATATTATACTATTCAGCTAATTCTACTTGCCCGACACACTATACGTGCATGCAGAGTATGCCAAGTTGTTGCGTCTGCAGCCGACTTACGCTCTAACAATTGTATCGCATTTGCACGAGGACTGCAGAAAACCTGTGTCGATATATAACCGGCCTCTCCGGAGAAGCCTCCCGTTCACGGTAATCCGAGAAAAATCATGTAAAATGATTTTGTTACGGCCGGGACTCGAACCCGTGATCCATCGTGCGTCAAGCTGACGCTTACCCATAAGTCCACCGCGTCGGTAATTAAATATTACTAGTTTTCTTTAGTAAAAATAGCTAAAAATTTAGGAAAAAGTACTATTCTGGTTGGTAAAAATTTTTAGAGAAAAATATATAAATTCAGAAATTTACTTTTTTATTCACTATATCCATTAAAATTACTTATACAATGTCAGTACACTAAATATTGAATAGAAAGTAAATTTCTATATTTATAGTTTTTATGTATATACATAAATATTTCTTTCTCTCTCTCTCTCTCTCTTTCTGCTCTGAAGATTCAGTTTGTTCAGTCTTACTTTATCATACAGACCACCATCCAACAATCCTCTCTAATATAGTATAAAAGCAAATCGTGTTTAAGTACGGAACGAAAAAATAAGTAAGAATCAATTGAGTCATAAATATTAAGTTACATACAGTGTTTCAGTATCTTTTATCGATGTTAAAGTTGATTTAATCTTCATTAATTATCTAGATATTTATGAAAGAATGATAAAATACATATTCATTAACTATTTAAATAATCTCCTTCGTAATATTCATGTACATTATTTATCTTCTAAAAACAATACGATGACTACAACTACAATTTGTATAATTATAAAAATACTTTCAAGTATGAGTACAAATGCCTATCATAGTTAAATAGTATTATTGTGGTATACACAAAAATGTTAAGAATGGATGAATTTTATAAAATGGTAACTGATTGATTGAAGATGAAATTCTGGCATAAAATGTTATTGACTGGAGGTGTGAGTTTATTAGCTTTTCATTATCATCATTCCTCGCTTGTCTTATTTGATTTATTCAAATAATTGATAATGTGAAGAAAATTTTTGAGCTTTTTCATTTTTATATTTTCACCTACAAACTGCTGGAGCCATTTTCATACTCTGTTGTTTCATCTAATTTTTTTTCCAAATCTGGTAAAAAACATTTTCATCAGTGTTACTTATGAATTACCTATTATTGGGATGATTCTCGATTTCGATTTTATTTTTAAATAAATTTTTCATGAGTATTAAAAATCGATATCATTGATGCTATTTCGAAAAAGATTTGTTAGAGGAAAATGATCATCTGTTTAAAACATTAGTTGATGGTATAAAAATATTAAGATCCAGTACATTATTTAGTTGAGAAAAAAGAGCTGAGATTTGAGAACCACGGAGATGTGTTTGAGAAAGGGAATTCATCTGGCGGCACAAGGAAAGTGTGGACAAAAAAGGGGCTTGAGGGAATGTATGAGGTATAGTAAAGCAAGAGCTCAACGGGGTTTTGAAGAAGAGAGAGGGTAGTGTTGGGCCTTCGTTGGTATCTCAATCAGCCAGGCTGCAGGTTCGCTTACCCTGGACCCCTGCAGTTGAAATGGTGGGGAGATCTGAGAGTACGAGCCTTCGACTTTGCAGCCGTCACAACTCAATCTAGTTCCTTAGAAACTGTGGAGTCAGGCGTATTTCGTAATAATTATTTTCAATAATTTTATAAACAGTTATGATTAAAAGGAAAACAATTAAGTTTTAACATTTTTTTAATTAAAAGAATTTAGTCTTTGACTAATATTTGTAATTATATCTTTAAGAGTGCATTAAATACAGAGTGAAAAAAGACACTATTTGATTGTGTAAACCATGTGATTTTGAATACGAAAGTAATTTTGAAAAAGTAAGAACTTATAAACAATTAATTTTCATACATATATAAATATAGTTTTAAACTAATTTTTATAAGATAAATGTTGAAATTTTCAAATTAGCTGTAATTGATCAGTCAACTGATTCACTCAGTAATTGGATTGACCCTGACAATCAGTGAATTTTTACTGATTTTCATAAGGGAATATTCAGCAGAAAGCTCTTTAGTTCATGGATAAAATTATTATGGTACATGTTCATTATTGTTATTTTCTAAAAGATATATAGATGTTTATATATACGTAAGTTATATACCAAAAATCAGATATTTTTTACGAATATCCATTTGAAGGAAAGTTATTTGTGCTCTTTTTTAATATATATGTATTAACTTTATTTTTAAAATTTAACTATAGCAGGTGGAAATAATCATTCTTTCGAATAACGAACAAATATTCTATACAATACATAAACATGTAAATAATGAATTTTTTTCTTTCAAATGCTCGATTCAGAAAAATAGAAAAAAAATTGAAGTAGACTCCATGATCATTATGAAGCGTATTTAATATAAATTAAACATGTTTTTAAATTAGTTTTATCATGTATGAATTTCTCTGAACCTCAATTGATAAAACTCTCAAAATCAAAAGGAAATACACAGTAAATTTATTTTAGAACCAATTTAAGCTACTAATATATGAAAAAAAGAAAAACGTAATGAGAGTTTAGTCGTGACTGGTTAATACACTGTTGCTTCAATGAATCACGCTTCTGTTTGGTTATTTATGCATGTCCCTAAATTATCTGTTTTTCTAATAAAACTTGTTCACAACCAAAATCCATTAAAAATTTTAGAAGATATATACTATGTTAAGATACATATTGCTTTGAACATAAACTCATAAATGAAAAAGACGTCAATAGTTGAGAAATAAATTTTCGATCAAAATACTATACATAATGATGTCGGAGGAGATGAAAAAGAAACAACAACGTACCTTAGCATGCCACCTGCTCTTATTATTTTTTCTTTTTCATTCGAGAACTACTTATTTATCAGAAAGTTCACTATTAAATACTCCGTACAGTATATACTTCCTTTGTCATTAATTAATTATTAGGATTATATATAACAGTATAAATATATTATTTTTGAAGCTTAAAATATTTATGTTTATTAGGATTGAGTAAAGTAAAATAAAAAAGTTTCATGATATAAAGGAGTGTATAAAAGCGAAATAATTCATTTTTTTCGCAAAAATCTATAATCCTTTGTAAAAAGACAATGAAACTAAATTCTCTGATCTTTAGTACTAATTTACTTATTTTCATTCCTGTATATCTTTTTCTGCTCGCTATTTATTATTTGTTATAACAATGAATCACTTATATGTATCTATATGATATTTTTTAAAAGTTAAAACATATTCAATTTTAATTCAATTGAATTCAAATTAAATTTTTAATAATTATTTCTTAAAATTTTTTAACATAACAAACTAAATGAAGAAAAGGAAAATGTACACAAAATAAGTAAAGAAGTTCAAATAAACAAACTACAATTTGTGCTTGATAACGAATACAATAAGAAAAATAATTAAACTGGTTAATCATTAAAAAATTATTTTTAGACGTGAAAAAAATATAAAATAATATACGTGAAGAACGAAACTTCTAAAAAAAAAATTTTGATTTCATTTCATGCATTGTAAAATAAATATCCTAACTGGTACAATAATAGTAAACACATGAGTTCTTCTTGGAGCAACGTTGAAAAACTTTTCGAGGTCAAAACTCAGCCACCTCTTCAGATGTGGCAACGACGGACAGATGGTTTAGGACCTTGTATTCATCCTATTATATCTTCTATTTTTGTTTTTTTTTTGTACTTTCATTTTTATTTGAACCTTTTTTATATTACTTTGAATAATTTTCTCGTTTTCGAAAGAATTCATGTGACATGATTTGTTAAATCCAATGAGATTTCTGGTCAAAAATACATTCGGAACGTATGCTTCTAGCTAATTTAATACGCTTAATTGAATGAGTAGCATGATCGGCCACAGCGTATTCAATTTTCTACTGTATCAAAGAACATATCTAAAGACATTTAATCCATTCATCGTTCAAACTATATCTGAGAAAAGAGTTCATTAAGAAACCTGTGGAGAGTCCGGATGTTGACTACGTTCTATTGCTTGTTGACATTTTATACTATACTCTTTGATTTAGAATCAATGTGACAAATATCAATGTAAGACAATTATACATGCATAACACACGTAATACCATAATGCAAGGCCATAATTTTTGATACATTAAAGAATTGGTAGAATAGATTGAACAACGCCATTTATTTTTGTAACAAAGTCATCGAATAAATGATACTTCCTTGAAAATTAGGATAAAAATTTTTATTCTTTTTGTTTAAAACTAAATAAAATTGAGAAATAATTTTTTTTTTTCTTATTAAAGCAAAAGAATGTATCCCCGGACGAAATGGATACACACACTCGTTTTCCTGGCGTCAATAGTGACAATCAACGCTACAAATGTGACAACTACATCTATACGTTGTGAAGAAGCAAGACTTAAATGTGCATATAGAAAAGGATGCGGTGGAGCTCTTGAGCAGTATTTAACGAGTTGTGCTGGCGTATTTCAAGGAGACAGTGCTCGTTGTCCTGAAACATGTCAATATGCGCTTATCGCTCTTACAAGCACAGACGAAGGAAAAGAACTTATGACAGTAAATTTCACTAAATTTCTTTCTTATTCGTATGGTTACATAATAAATAAATAATAATAATAAAATTACTTATTAGTCATGATTTTCTTTAACTTTAAACATTTTATTATCTACTATTGAATTAATTTTTATTTTAGTGTGAATGTGCCAAAGATGACATTATGTGTATAAGAACTAAGCAAAGAGTTGAAATTTGTCGATCCCCTGTCAGCATAGTGATGAATAAAACGAGGCTTTCATGTCGAATAGCAACAAGCATTTGCAATGCTGATCCACTTTGTTCTACAGCTCTTTATTATTATAATGAATTGTGCAAGGCCATGTTTCACGGAAAAAAATGCACTCATCGGTAAATTTTATTCATTTAAAGATTCGTAATAATTTTTTCAATTTCTTGGTATAAATATAAATTGGTATATTTAAAGTTTATTCGAGACAAATTTAATACTGTTTCAGTTGCCGTAACTCCATCGGTATTTTACAACGTCAAGAGAAGGCGGCAAAATTAAATACATGTATATGTGATGGCTCAGAGGATTATGATTGTCAAAGTATTCATCGTAACATGAACTTTCTTTGTTTTGGACGAGTTCATCATGAATATCATGAAATTAAAAAGACTATTCTTGATTCAAAAAATAATGAAAAATCTGAAAATGTTGACGCCAGTGGGAGTAGTATTTATTTCTTGAGCAGAACGAATTTTATTTTACCCTTAACTGTTTTGTTTGTATTAAAAGGTAACTATTTATTATTTTATTTAAACATAAATTTAAAAAAAAATTCTACTTCATTATATTTGATAGAAAAACGTTTTAGCATGATTCTAGATGTTTAAAAATATACTGATGCTAGTAGTTAGTCAGTCCTAAAAGCATACAACGAAAATAATTACGACGCTATCTTTTCTAGTTTTTTTTAACGAATTTTCATTTTATTTGAAATTTATTACAAAAAAAAAAAATTTAAGTATTATTTCGATAAATTATATATATTTTAATGATACATTAGTAAAAATATATTTTTATAGACTGACCTATAACGAAGTTAGACAGGATCCAGAAACAGTATTCCGTGTGTGAATGACCAAAGACCCTAAATACTTACCATTTGGTACGCCATAACAAGAAAAATAGCTCAAATTTCCGTAAAATATTAAATGTAGTATGAGTAAAATTAATTTTTACATTCGACTTCAGTAAAAAAATACTTTACATGCAAAGAATATTTTTTAAAAACGATACAAAAATTTTATTCTGCACTTAAAAAAAAAAGTATAATAGAGTTTATTAATAACATGAATTATATTTTAATTTATAATATATGATATATGAATGTGAATTTTTAAGGGTATGATTGAGTATGAATGTATATAAATATATTTAAAAAAATCAAGAACAAATCAAAAATTTATTTATTATTTATAAATTTAATTATTTAATTAATAATTTTTATGCAACAAATTTGTTTCTAATGCAAATACTAAGATGGATAAGAAATTGGATAAAAGTAAGAGGAAACAAAGATAAGGCCATAGAGTTCTATTGAACATCAGCTGTTATTATGGACCAACTATAAAGATGCAACGTGGTTCACGCGGCCACACACGTCGGACCACTATATCTCTGTCCTCATTTATACGACATTTTGTGTTTTTCTTATTTTCACGTGTAGGTAATCTGTAATATTGTCATGTATTGATAATCAATGTATTAATACATCGATTTCACATTGAAGAATGAGTTTGTAATAATAATTAAGTAATCAACATTTTATGATGATACTATTATTTTTGTTAGGTTTTATTAATAGAATAGATGTATTCACAATAATTTTTACTCAAAACTTCAACAATTACTTTAGCCTAAAAATTTCTTTTCTAACTAAAATATAGATCAAAGATTGGCGAAATTAGAAAGGAGATTATAAATGAATAGCAAATATATTTAGTTTCTTTTGTTTTTGACATTTAAGGGTTTATTACGTGCTCTTTAAGAGCATCAAAAGTCCAAACCAGTTTGTTGAAAAATAGAAAAATTTCAATTTGTATTTATGTCGATCTATGAATATAAGAAGAAGCTAACGTAAGAGAGAAAATTTTTATATGAATAGGAAAAGAATCGGAGAAAAATAGGAAAGAAAGAAAAAGCGGGATTGAGAGAGACTGATATAACGGGAAGGCAAAGGAAACGAGCTTGAGGAAGAAAGAGAAAACTTAGTGTTGGCCACACACGTAGCGAACGAAGACGAGACTTCATGGGTGTGAGCAAGATAGTAGTCTAAGTAAGGATACCAATTGTAGGTCTGGAGTTACGAAAGTGAGATAGAAAGATCAAATGAAGAGAAACGAAGTAAGGAAAGACCCGCAGGCTCTATCCTGAGGACCACCCACTTAGGCTTGGAGACTCTAGCACGACACATCGTCTCATTGAAGTTACATCGTCAACTTGAAACTGACGTTTAGTTGTTGGTTATATTAAACTTAAAATTTTTTGTTAATTACAAAACTATAACAATAATAATGATAATAACTATTAACATCAACTCCGACTACTTTTTTTGTTATAATTGAAATTTTAAATAGATACTTGGATTATTTAAAATTAAGAACAAATATTTAGAGTCGTACAAGGATTATTGAGCTTGTCTATTCTCACCAATAGACAATTAGCAAAAGTGAAGTGACTATCAAACTAGGATTTAAATAGTTAATATTTTATAATTCAACGGTTCAACATCATAAAATACATAGAGATAAAGTAAAGGACATTATCAAAACTGATAATGAAGTTTAATTACAACGGTAATCATCTTTTTGTTTACCTCATTGTAACGATTAATAGAAATTATTTTATTATTATTGACTCTGTGAAATATCAAACAAGTTATATACACATTAATTATATAATTATTTTTAAGTTTAATTCAGATGTAACCATAGTTAGTAAATTTCATTCAATTGTTTTCATAAAAATGAAAAATATATTTTTGTTTTTATAGTATATTTAAAAAAGAAAAAAACTTGACAACATCAATAATCATCAAGATAACTACATAATTTAAATCTCTTTACTCTTTACCTACCACGAAACCGGAAGATCATAGAAAATGACGATGACGGACCTCACAGATTGTTCTCGAGAAATAGACCGCTAGGAATACCAGTTATTTTATTTTCTATGGTTTATTTTTACGTATATTAAATTCTAATAATTTTTTACATTTATTTTCTCTATAATTTTTTAGTTTCTTTTATTTATCATAATAAAAACAATAATTCTCAACACGAAAAAATGGATTATACATATTACGTGTGAAACCAATACGAAAGCTCTAATTCTATATAGCAAAAAAAATTTCAATAAATCTTTACCAAAAAGATGCAACTAATATTTATTGAGACCATGTTACCACATCGTGCATTGCATATTTCCAAGTCCAAGCTCTAGCAACTTCTTCGAATCTTTCTCGATTATTTGTGTACATGCGTCCAAGTTCTGGTTCCATGCATATATGACAGTAAGGATCAGTTAGTAAGCTTTGAACACTAATTAAGACTTTGGATATTGTTAAAGCTAATGACCAATTGTGATGAATTGAATCTATACCAACATCACCATGTCTGGATACATTCGGATGAAGAATTTTTGTTAAAAATCTTACTATTGGAGGACACATGGGATAACTAAAACAATTAATATATTTTTTATTAAATATATAAAATTTCACTTTTTTATGAAATGACATATAGTTAAATAACTTTTCTTACCTGTACGGAACTTGAAGATATAAATAAAATAATCCTCCTTCATATGGACTACCTATTGGTCCTGTTATTGTTGCTTGCCAATGACAACACATTATGTCTAATGGTGTAGCTTCAATACCTTCGGGTGGGTCAGTTCTTAAACTTTTTAATTCTGTCCTCAATCTATTCCGTCTCCAAGAGTTTTCTTCTACTGTCGCTGGTTTTGAACGTAAACACATTTGAGCTAAACATCTTCGGCAAGGCATTGATGATGCTAAACAATCATACACTTTATACCAATTATCAACATAACCTATTGCTTTATATAAAGGCCAACGATGTTTAACATGCTGTTGCCACTGTTGTGGGGGTATGTGAGCTAATAATAATCCATGCCATCTTCTACAAACATTAGCGGCTGACCAAAGACTAACATCATCTAAATGAGAAAATACTGCTAGAAGAACTTCTGGCGGCAATCTTTCAACTAATCCTGATTCGTTAATTGTTTCATGTTCAGTATATTTATGATTAGTTAGTAGCTCTACTCTTTTTGCTAAACTTCCAGATGTTGATGATTCTCCATTATTAATTGAATTCGGAGAATTCCAACGATTATAACTTGATCGATCACCATTATCTTTTGATGGTAAATTTTGTATTCGAGGTAACCCTTGTCCATTATTATAACTTTGAGATTCTTTTTTATGATCTACATGCCTTAGAAAATCTTTAGATTGCTTGGAATTTTGAGGAATTTGATTATAAACTTTGACTGAATCGTCATCTGTAGTATTTTGAGATGATGTATGAGGTCTTTGGAGTTGACTTGTTTTTCGTTCTGCATTATAAAAAAGATCTATCGGTTCATCATTGCCTGAGTCTTCATCATCGGTTTTCTACGGAATGAATAACATGTTAAATTAATTTAATAAACCTCATTATTACCAATTACAAACTATAATACTTACTTCACTAAAGATCGGAAGATCGTTAGGAGTATCATCCGGAAATAAAAATGCATGACATGTTGCACAAACAGGTTCCTCAAAACATGGACCATAATAACCATTGCAGATATAACAAGCTAATGTCTGTATACAACAATCATAATATGAGTCATTTTAACCTTGATTAATTATTATAGCTTAATATTGAATTCATTACTTACGGAAAATTGGAATTCAGGGCATGAAATAAATTCAATAGTATCTAAATATTCGTTACCAGAGTTCGAATATACACAAAAATCAAGTTTATCTCTCGATTTTTCTGAATTGTCTACATCGTTCAAAGTATCTTCAGTATTATCGCCTGCCATGTTGATTGGAAAATAAATTATTTGCACTTCATTACAATTTAACTGAATTTACAGTCGAGAAAAGAACTGTTTATAACAATATTATACTATTATTTATTTTAATATACGAGACAAATACACAACTTATTTAAATTTTTATGAGAAATAAAGTTATTCTCAACAGATACGCACATAGATATTATTACTCTATATTCTAGTCTTCTACATACACTCGGCGTCATTAATGCCTGGTCCATCAAAAACTTTGATACCATCGGAGCAATTATCGATGGAGTAGTTTTTTTTTCAAACAGAGATTCTACATCTAAATTAATTTAGAAAGTTCATGATTAAATACCCTTTTAGATAGTCCCTATAACAATACACTATCCCCACTAAAAAATTTTTAAACCTTAATTTAAAGAATAACAAGAAAATTTAAATAATGATAATTATAATTTAAACTTACCTCTTCAGTCATCACGAAATAATCGTAATCATTAATGTTAGTTTGATTATAGTAATTATAAACTTAAGTTTATAATTAAAATATAATTATCATTATTTAAATTTTCTTGTTATTCTTTAAATTAAGGTTTAAAAATTTTTTAGTGGGGATAGTGTATTGTTATAGGGACTATCTAGAAGGGTATTTAATCATGAACTTTCTAAATTAATTTAGATGTAGAATCTCTGTTTGAAAAAAAAACTACTCCATCGATAATTGCTCCGATGGTATCAAAGTTTTTGATGGACCAGGCATTAATGACGCCGAGTGTACATTCGGCTTCATTAATGCCTGGTTTGTACCCGATGAGCAATTACCAACAGCGAGTATGATTTTTTTTACATTGAGTTTCCAATCTATAATTTTTTAATTAGAAAGAAATTACAATTTAATTTATAATTGTTTAATTTTTTTTATTTTTCAAGTAGAAAAATCAATTAAGACATTAACACTTCTATCGAGCGCATTGCAACATAAAATTATGTTTAATTTTGGACCAAAATTTTTAAGTAATAACATGAATTAGTAAAGAAATTAACAACCTACGATCCTATACATTTCGACAGGGGGAATCAGATGTTTCTGACTTCAGCCTAGCCTTAAGGCTGGGCTGAAGTCAGAAAGTTTCCCGGAGTTGACTTTACGCCCTCACGTTGTGCGGCGAAAAGCCGAAGCTCGATATCAATTGAAATTGAGTAGGTAACAGAGAAATCGTTCGAAAAATGATAATTTTCAGGGATGCACTACAAAAAGGGAGCCTTAGGGTACCAAGAAATTTACAAATTTCAGAATAATCTGTTCCGAGCAAGACAGAGCACAAAATATATCTATCTATCTCCGTCTTATTTTTCAGAGCAGACTGCGAGTTCGAACAGTTGACGAGCAAGCACATTCCCCACCCTCTGTTACTAAGCCTGAAGCTTACGATATCTAAACGTAAACAAAGCAAATGAAAATATGCTAGCTCTATAGTCAGAAGGTTCGACAGTTATTTTACCGAACGGTGTTCGATTCCAATTGCGGCAAAATTTTTTTTTTATTTAAATTGCATGTAATTGCAATTTTATCATGCCAAAAATGAGTTTTAAATTTCAATTTTTATGTAAAATTTTTTTTTCAATTAATCAATGACAAATGAGAAAATATTTGAACAGGGTCATTAACCTTTTTTTGTACAAATACATTGATAATAGCCTTTTTTAACAACTTATTAACAATAAAAAATTGTTTAAACAATCCGCGGCGAGTTCCGATACTTCGCCGGCAAGCTCGACCCCCACTTTCTGTGCCCAAGCCTGTAGCTCATAATTTTCAAGCATCGTTTATATAATTGGAACTATAATAGCTCAGTGGTTAGAGCCCCGACCTTTTATTTTGCTGGGCAGGGTTCGATCCCAGTCATAGGCAATTTTTTTTTCTGTTTCTTGTTCAAGTAACTTTATATACTTATAAATTAATTCATATATTTGATTAAATTATTCTTCCAATTAATTACGAAAAAAAACTTGTTTTTCTGAAAATAAGCTGAGGGTGAGGAACGAGTTACTATGAATTCTCTTTTTTAGAAAATGTTGTCTTTAAAAGACACTAGGAATTGATTTTGAGCTTATACAAACAACCAATTATTGTATTTATATAAAATTTTAATGAAAAAAAAAAAAAAATTGGCTATAACTGGGATCGAACCCTAATCGGTAAAATGAAAGGTTGGTGTTCTACTCACAGAGCTAACACATCATCTCTGATATTATGTTTATGTTTATAAATTGTATAATGCAGGCTTGAGTACGAAAGGTGGGGATAGAGCTTGCCGGCGAAGTGCCGGAAATCCCCGTGGATTATTTCAACTACTTCTAAATATTTCTAAATTGCTTAAAAAAAAGCTACGTTCATATAGCTATAGTAAAAAAAGTGTTTATAACCCTGTTCATATGTTTTCCGACTCGGCGTCGATAAATTACATAAATAATTGAGAAAAAAAAATCAAATCGTTGGTAAGAATTCATTTTAGCATGTTAATATTATAATTACATGCAAATCTAACAAATGAAAAAGAAAAGAAAAACTACCATGACTGGAATCGAACCCTGCCCATCAAAATGAAAGATCGATGCGCTAACCACCGAGCTATTATGATTACAAAACATTTATATATGCTCAAAAATTATAAGCTGCAGGCTTGGGCATAGAGAGTGGGGATAGAGCTTGCCAGCGAAGTGCCGGAACTCGCCACGGATTGTTTAAACTACTTTTCAATGTTGATAATAATATGATTAACTTGTTAATAACATAACATTGTTAATACATGTAAAGATGTATAAGTTGTTAAACACAGGCTATTATCAATGTATTCATACAAAAAGAAAGTTAATGGCTCTGTTCAAATATTTTTCGACTTAGCGTCAATAAATTCAATGAATAAAGAGAAAAAAAAATCAAATTGTTATAAAAGATTAATTATAGCATGTCAATATTATAATTACATGCTAATCTAACGAATAAAGTAGAAAAAAAAAAATTGGTTATGACTGGGATCGAACCCTGCCCGGCAAAATAGAACTCTGACGCCCTAACCACATGGCCAGCATAATCTCGATATTGAGTTAATGTATATTTGTTTTTACACTACATGCTTGGATACGCCGACTTGGAATTGAGCTTCCTTATTAACATTTATACCTAATAAAAATGATAATAATGGATGAATATATGTATTTGAAGTTTTTTGCAGGTATTATATTAATTAATGTTAAATGAGTATCATCATTTTCATTTATCCTAACTGCAATAGTCATCAAAGTGTAGGGCATTGTAAAGTGATACACTATGTTTACATCACATACATATATTACCCGTACACACACATACAGAATTTACTCGCCAAAATGCAGGGCACCATCAGTTCTGGATACGGATTGAGCATTTTTTCAATATGGATGACTGAGGTCATCTGCGAGCATAATGCTGTCACCTATCAGAATTTTTTCAAACTAATTTTCCGGAGAATATCATCTGGAATACAAGATTTCTAATTATTTCTAAATTATTCAATTTTATACTATGAATTGATTTTTTTAACATTCAGACAGGTGGCAAGGACTGACGCAAACACGAATTTCGGGCGAAAAACGTATAAAAATGAAATAATTAGATATTTTTCATCTGAATGATGTGGCCGCCATCTTGAAATTTAAGCGCGGCAAGTCAATTCATAATTTTTTCATGATTCTTTCTAATTTTTTTAATAAAAATATTCACTATATACAAAAAATTGTTGTTTACGTCAGTCCGGCATTAATTCCTCTGTAATTTGGTACCTAATTTTATAGAAATAATTGTAAATTGGCGAAGAAATTAGAAATTTCCCGATCCCATGTATCCCAAATGGATAGGGGGAATCAGTTGCCTTTCTGACTTCAGCCCAGCCTTAATTCCACTAAAATTGCAAAATTTCGATGAACAAAAGGTGTTTCCTCTGCAAATACTTTTAGTTAGAAAGTAATCTGTTAATAATAATTCAAATTTATTTATATAATTTTAAGTTTTTACATGTAAAAAATAATTTTTAACTATGGATGTTAGATGAATAGTCTGATAATATTTAAAATGAACAGCATTACTGAATTATTCAGTTTATTATTTTTAATCATAAAGACAGTGACATAAGTATTACATGAATATATATGATCTCAATTCATTTGAATATTTAAAACTATTTCATAGTATATTATTATAGGTATACAAATACGAGAAAATTTTCAAAGTCGAGTTAACATTAGTTGCTAATTTTTAAAGTGACTAATTATAATGTTTCTTTCTTACTGAATTTTCTCTGCCATGTGTCTAGTTTGTTGTAACAATGTCTGGTGTCAAGCGATTATATTTAAAAAAGACCATTATTGTTATTTTTTTCATTTTTATCGTTATTGATTTTTTTTGCTTTTCAAAATATGTATGTTTATCAGTTATTTCGCTCGTACAAACTTTCGTTTCCTTTACATGTATTTTGAGTAACTGTATTTTTTATATTATTAAGATTAGTATAAATGCATTCAGCAGACTTGGTTAACCTACGCTGAAAAAATATTCATTATATCATGTTATATTTTATTAATAAGCGAATGTTTATTTTATCTTTTGAGAATTTTAACAATTTACCCATGATCTAATTAAAATAAAATTTGGAAAAATTACACTAATTTAAATAATCATTACCGGCATTCTTCGATAATTTCATTAAAGTTTTAATATACTAATGTTGCAGAACAACTACGTTAATATTTATTAAATTTACTACAAGTAATTTATTTCATGTTTTATAAAAAAGTGAAAAATTCTTACCTGCTATTCCGGCAATTGCTTCAGAAGCGAAATACTTAACATCAACATCTGGATCTGTATTAAGTTTTTCAAGAACAGGTACCACTTGTGTTTGTACAGCATTTGATTCTAAGTAAGGCCCAATACGTTGAAGAGTTTTTGCTACATTAAATCTTACATTTGCAACGTTATCATTTGCCATTGCTAATACAGTTGGAAGCATAATTTTTGTTGTTATCTCTGGACCGCATACTTCGGCTAGCACCTATTTATTCATTGAATTAATAATTTAATTGACGTACCGTGATTTTTTTTCTGAGAGAAATTTTTTAAATACAATCGATTCATCAGTAAACTTATAACTACCATCGATAGAATAAATAAACGTGAAAATTGATAAAACTTTCATACTTACATTAATACAAAATAGACATGTCATTCTGTGCAAATAATTTTGATCTCTAGACATATTTAGAACTTTAGGAATTATTGTATTTTGTGCCCATTCAGGACCAAATTTTTCTACTAATTTTTTGAGATTTAAAGTCGCAGCTTCTCTAATGGCATATACGTGATCCACTAACCAGTTCATCGATAAAGAATTTAACTTTTCATCAAAAAATTCAACCCCTAATTGTCCAGCTAATAACGGCATATATTCAATAATAGCAAGTCTCACTCGCCATTTTGAGTCTTCAGCAAGTTCTACAATTGCTGGCAATAAAGATTGAGATAACTGTTGAATACCTATAACTTCATTTACACAATCTAAATTGCTGATGATATTTAATCGAACTTCGGGACATTCATCTTTAAGTTGCATTAAAAATAATGGCAACAAATGTTCAATAGTACTAAAAAAAAAGGAAAAATTGCTTATTAAATGGTGTATTTTTTCATATTTTTAAAATTATGAATAATTTTTTTAATGCTTACTTATGTTTTCCTAAAATCGGACTGAGACCCATTATAACTCCAGCAAGAGCTGATTTAACATGTTGATTAAGATCTGCGACAAGATCTTTAACGCAAGGTAAAATGCTGGTCATAATAATATTTTCTTGACTAAATTGATCAAGATTTTGGCAGAACTCGCGAACTTTTTCAGCTGCAGCTGCTCTAACTTCTGCTTCAGTGTCTTTTAAAAGTATTTGAAAAGCTGGAACAAGATCCGTTTTGGTTATTTCCGGCCCAACTGCTTTTTGTAGCTGTAATTTAAAAAAATCATTTAGTTTTCGATTAATTTTTTTTTATAATAATTAGCTTGAAAGAAACATAAGAAGTACATCAGTAAATTTATCAGCCACCATATAACGAACTCGCCATGATTGATCAGCTGCACATTGACGGAATGTTGGCATAACTAATTGTTCAACATCTTCTTGTTGAAGAAGAGATGCGATACTGACACATGCTTCAACTGCCAAAAGACGTACTGAATCCTTAAATAGTATAAAAAAGTATTGATATTATATACTACAATAAATCAACCAATACTAAAAATACCTGTTCATCCTGTGCAAGAAAAACAAACATCGGTATCAAATCTGATTTAAGATATTCAATTTCAACAACTTTAGCAAACTCTCCAAATTTAGATGCTGCTGCTCGACGAACCATCGGTGTATCATCTTGACATAAATGACGAAAATGATTTCTGAGCTCAGCTTTCATTGTTGGACTAATGCGAGGATAGCAAATGCTAATAAGACCGCAAGCTGAAGTTCTTGATGTAAACCAATCACCCGATGCAAGACGCTGAACCAAAGGAACGAAATAGTCTTCTAGATACGACGAACTGTGTTGATTAGCAACAATTCTTAAAGATTCGACTGCTTTTTCACGTACTACTGTTTCTTCAACTGTAGCTAATGCTTCCAGTGGCGGCTACAATATTAATTCAATTAATATAGATAATTTAATATTTTACTACTTTCGATCAATTTAAAAAGTTAAAATATACCAGTAGACAATGCACATAGTCAGGACCCCCAACTAATGGTGTAAATGATCCAAGTTGTTCAGCAAGTGCTAATAAAACTTCATCTTCATCATAAATTGTTTCTGTTAAGAATGGCATAAGCTCACTACGTGTTCTTTCAGCTCCAAGTGCTAGGGCTATAGTTGATAGTTTTTTGATGGAATTTAATCGTAACTGCAAATCAAGAGGTAATTATTATTCAAATATGTCAACTAAATTCTTGTAATAATAACATTATTAAATAACTTCCCACTGGGGAGCTAATGAATGTTGATTGTTTTTGGATTGATTTAATCATTTTTTGGACTTTTTGATTATCACTCATTATTAATAACCTATTGGTTACGTATTCTTTTCTGTACTGAAAAACTTAATAAAAATCCAATAAATATTCTATCAAATTTCTACAATTTTACATAAAGTTATAAAATGTAGTATATAAATATCTGTTTACAAAATAAAAATTAAAAAAAAAAAGAAGCAATGCATTTTAACTTGTTAAGTTCCGCATATCCAACAGATATTATTTCATGATAAATTTTAATAATTTATCAAATCACTCAAAACTTGAAATAATAAATTAGAATTACCTGAACATCTTCGTTTTTCAATTCATCAATTAAAACTGCAATCGGATATAGGCTATCGTCGGTGGATGAATCTGCCGCTGCCATTTTGCTGGTAGTCACTATTTAAACAAGTTTTTTTAACGTACAAAATTGTCAGATAGCTCGACCCTTATTTGCTCTACACATGAATTTATTTAGATATGTTATGTTGGATTTCAATGTTAACAACTACGCATCAATTCACAAAAAAAAATTTTCGCATCAGGTTAAATTTTAGTATGAATTTTTCTGAAAGAAATGAATGCTTTGTGTCATAAACTATATAAATGCTCGAATCGAAAGAAAACGAACTTTACCAGAGAAGAGAGACCAGTATAGAAGTCCAATGCTGTGTTAAAAATCCGGACGAAGTTTCGGTCAACATGTCGGTAATCTCAGGTCACAACATGAAAGTTTCTGTGAACCCATCGAGCGATGGCGCTGCAACGGTTTATTTCAGCCACGCCCCTTAATCTAAGAGAGAAAAGAGATAAGATTTGTGTTCTCTTTTACTCACATTACAAGAATTCTAAGCCAGTTTATTTTCAAGCACAAATTTTTAAATAGAAAAGGTCCTACCAGCACTGTTCGCAACATACATAAAAGCTATAAAACCAATTTAATATTCTTGTAACAGCTCAGAGGTAACACGCTCGACTACGGAAACGTAGGTTTTGTGGTCAAGCCTATCAATGTTATTTTTTTTTTTATTTAATTAATTGTAATAATGAATTTTTTTAGGACAAATTTCATACGCAATCACACTAAAGGAGTGTGTAATATTTTTTTTAAAGAATATTGGGACCGCTTGAGAGGCCTGGAACTTGGTACCTGAAAATAGAGATGTGAATTTACCGGTAATAGAAAATTCGGTAATTACCACGTAAAATTACCGGTATCTGACGGTATTCTGACGTCAAAAAATTCTGAATGTAAAATTTACCGTCAAGCCGTCGGTCAGCGTAATTACCGTAAATTACCGGTCATTCGCATCTATATAGATGAATATGATGAGCTTTTTACCGAGGAAATGGCTTGCTTTCGAACTTGCTTGCCAATTTGCTTAAGTTAATTTTGCTTTTTGCACTTGTTAATTTAAAACTAATTAATTATTATAAGATGAAAAAAAAATTTTGTAATTTGTAATAAAAAAAATATTTTACATTTTTGACTGTTAGGACAGAAATAATAAATATATTGAAAATTATTATAAACGTTTATTTAGTTAAGTTTTTGGTACATTTTTTTTTATAAAATAGATAATCCTTCGTTATTACATATTATAAAGAATTTGACTTTTTTAACTTTTATGTAAATTATTTATGAAAAAATAAAACCATATAATCTATAGTTTCTATCAACTAGTAATATCACATAATAATTGACATATTTCATTAGGAAATAACAAGTCTAATACTGATTCAATTCCATCAACATCACTAATTAGTCTTGAGTAAATTCTTCTTCTAAAAATTCAACTTCTTCATGCTCAGCACAAATTTCACTTATTTCATCCTCTCCTTTATTACTTTCCTCATCTTCTTCCCATTCTTCTTCTGCATTTTTTGGTGAAGGATTAAGTAATTTTAAATTTCTTGCAATGTATGTTATTTTTCCAGCTCTATCGATACTTAACTTATTTCTTTTAGATGAATGAATCCATCCTTGTGTACTAAGGGAACGCTCGGTTGCAGCTGATGTTGCAGGTAAAGTCAATATAGCCACAGCTATTTTGCTCAACGAAGATTTTTGGCAAATACTTTGCCACCATTGACATGCTGAAGTGATTATACTTGCTCGCTTAACGTAGTCGTAACTCCACATACTTGATTCTGACACATAATCTGTTAAATCTTTTAATACCTTATCACTATTTAGATTTAATTTATCACCAAGATTTATAATTGATGTTTATATATTGATTTGTTCTCCCCCATTGCACCAAGTTCTCAATGAAAATCCTTATCTACAAATTGAATTTTCTTATATTAAATATTATCAGTATTTTTAATAAACAAATAAAAATGAAAATATACACCTGATAGAACAAATAAACAGTTGTATGCCATTGGGAATTCTAAACTGTGATTGGACATGTATTAACCAATCAGAGATCAGCATTTTTCTGACCGGTATGGTAAAACAGGCTTGGTCATTGACGCGTTTTTTACCGGTAATTTACGGTAAATTTACCCGTCAATTACCGATTCACATCTCTACCTGAAGAGAGTTTTTTAAAAAATTTTCTTGGGTAATAAAACCCCTATTGTCCCAGCAGCCTTAAGGCTGGGCTGAAGTCAGAAAGTTTCCCGGAGTTGACTTTACGCCCTCGCGTTGTGCGGCGAAAGGCCGAAGCTTGACGTCAATTGAAATTGAGTAGGTAACAGGGAAATCGTTCGAAAAATGATAATTTTCAGGGATGCACTACAAAAAGGGAGCCTTAGGGCACCAAGAAATTTACAAATTTTTGAATAATCTGTTTCGAGCAAGACAGAGCACAGAATATATTTATTAGTCCAGTCAATATAGGAGGCTTGGCTCCATTTGTCTTGAAAATTTTTGTACAAAGGGCAATTTTTAATTTTCTAATGTCAAAATATCCGTAATGACCTGTAGAAAAAATGTGCCCAAAAACGAAAGTGCTCTGATTTTTTTTTATATGATTTTTTCGCATTTTAGTGGTCCCGTGTATCTAAGCGAGACAGCACAATAGGCGGCACCACGCGCTAGAGAAGGACATAACTATCGGAATGAAAAAATCGTATTTTCGATAAAAAAAATTGTAGTTTTCTTGTTCAATATTATTTTATTAATTATTTGATGAACAAAAAAAACCTACAAAATCATCAATTTCTTAAAGTTGGTAATTTTTTCATTTATTTATAAAAATTTGTTTTTTTATTTATGTATAAAAAATTTCTTCATTATAGTAAATAATATATTTATTTATTATATTCATTTGATATTTATTTACTTATTTTTGGGCAAATATTTGACCCAAAAAAGTAAAAAAATAATCAAATGAATATAATAAATAAATATATTATTTACTATAATGAAGAAATTTTTTATACATAAATAAAAAAACAAATTTTTATAAATAAATGAAAAAATTACCAACTTTAAGAAATTGATGATTTTGTAGGTTTTTTTTGTTCATCAAATAATTAATAAAATAATATTGAACAAGAAAACTACAATTTTTTTTATCGAAAATACGATTTTTTCATTCCGATAGTTATGTCCTTCTCTAGCGCGTGGTGCCGCCTATTGTGCTGTCTCGCTTAGATACACGGGACCACTAAAATGCGAAAAAATCATATAAAAAAAAATCAGAGCACTTTCGTTTTTGGGCACATTTTTTCTACAGGTCATTACGGATATTTTGACATTAGAAAATTAAAAATTGCCCTTTGTACAAAAATTTTCAAGACAAATGGAGCCAAGCCTCCTATATTGACTGGACTACATCTATCTCCGTCTTATTTTTCAGAGAAAACTGCGAGTTCGAACAGTTGACGAGCAAGCACATCCCCCACCCTCTGTTACCAAGCCTGAAGCTTATGATATCTAAACGTAAACAAAGCAAATGAAAATATGCTGGCTCTGTAGTCAGAAGATTCGATTTCGACATCAAAAATGAGTTTTAAATTTCAATTTTTATGTAAAATTTTTTTTCAATTAATCGATGACAAATGAGAAAATATTTGAACAGGGCCATTAACCTTTTTTTGTACAAATACATTGATAATAGCCTTTTTTAACAACTTATTAACAATAAAAAATAGTTTAAACAATCCGCGGCGAGTTCCGACACTTCACCGGCAAGCTCTACCCCCACTCTCTGTGCCCAAGCCTGCAGCTTATATAGTTATATAGTTTTTAAGTATCATTCACATTATTGAAATCATAATAGCTCAGTGGAAGCGCACCAATCGTTTATTTTGCTGGGCAGAGTTCGATTCCAGCCATAGGCAATTGTTTTTTCTTTTTTTTGCTTAAGTGACTTTATATACTTATAAATTAATTCATATATTTGATTAAATTATTCTTCCAATTAATTACGGAAAACAACTTGTTTTTCTGAAAATAAGCTGAGGGTGAGGAACAAGTTACTATGAATTCTCTTTTTTCGAAAGTGTTGTCTTTAAAAGACAATAGGAATTGATTTATTCATCTTAAACTACATGCTTTGATCCGTAGACTTGGAATTAAGCTCGCTTGTTGACATTTATACCTAATAGAAATAATAATAATGGATGAATATATGTATTTTAAGTTATTTTCAGGTATTACATTAATTAATGTTCAATGTGTATCATCATATTCATTTATATTACTGCAGAGAGAAGTCTTCTCTCTGATTACTGCAATAGTCACCAAAGTATAAGGCATTGTGAAGTGATAAACTATGTTTACATCACATACATATATTACCCGTACACACTCATACACAAATTACTCACCAAAATGCAGGGCACCATCAGTTCTGGATACGGATTGAGCATTTTTTCAATATGGATGACTGAGGTCATCTGCGAGCATAATGCTGTCACCTATCAGAATTTTTTCAAACTAATTTTCCGGAGAATATCATCTGGAATACAAGATTTCTAATTATTTCTAAATTATTCAATTTTATACTATGAATTGATTTTTTTGACATTCAGACAGGTGGCAAGGACTGACGCAAACACGAATTTCGGGCGAAAAACGTATAAAAATGAAATAATTAGTGATTTTTCATCTGAATGATGTGGCCGCCATCTTGAAATTTAAGCGCGGCAAGTCAATTCATAATTTTTTCATGATTCTTTCTAATTTTTTTAATAAAAATATTCGCTATATACAAAAAATTGTTGTTTACGTCAGTCCGGCATTAATTTTTCTGTGATTTGGTACCTAATTTTATAGAAATAATTGTAAATTGGCGAAGAAATTAGAAATTTCCCGAACCCATATATTTGGATAGGGGGAATCAGTCGCCTCTCTGACTTCAGCCCAGCCTTAAAAAACTCTACATTCGATTCGGGTCCATTTGACCACGTTCGCTTTTTTCTGAATGCTTTCTTTCGAGCAGAAACTGATAATGTACTACAGTCTGAGAAGAGAGTTCCTCATGTGCTCTTGTACGCTTGCGCAGTAGCGAAAACGTGGTAGAAGGGGTAAGAAATCAGTGGTGGGGAGCCCGAAAGCATTGAAGCAACTGAGGAACTCTTTTCTTAGTCGACATATATATATATAAGTTCGACATGTAAGTATAAATTTGACTACAGTCCGTTATATCAGTCACAAAAAATTCTCTTTCAGTTTTATAAAACAAAACAATTATGAACTATTAATGATCAATTATTGATAATACACCATCTAAAGTAATATTTAGTCGAATAGTACTCGTTAAAATATGATTGTATGTGTGGTATTTTAATTTTATAGTTTGATGTTAAAAAACTATTGATGAGTAAAACAGCTGACTAATGTGAGATATCAAACCATCATCAATTGTACCGCAGGTGTACCTGTGTTTTTCAGTTGTACTGTAATTAAAATATATATTGTCTCTTTATTGATAATAGAAATTTCCTAAAAAATTTTTTACAGAATTTTACAAAAATTTAGACACGGTAATTATATATGAGCTATTTCTTCTGACGAAAATAAAAAATCTATGCGTTTGAAATATATTTTGCACATGTTAATTCACATATGTAAAAAGATTAAAGTTTGTGTTTGTATAATTTTACATTATTTTTTGTATAGTTGTACGTGATTTCTTTGATGAAAGTCAATTCAACTAAACTATTGTAAAAACATGGCTTTGAAAATACATTTTTTCTCAAGTTCAAATAATTAGAAGTGCATCGAATGATGTACATATTATTCGTTCAATGTCATAGTTGTGGAATTACTATAATTATTATTAATTTTTAGTAACGTGCATTTTTTTTAAGTTATAATGAACTATTGTATAAATTTTAATAATTTTTTCTTAGTCTGCCTTAGTGCAGCTCGTGGTGGGAATTTACCATCATGGAGCAAATGATTACTTTGAGTACACAAAATCCCTTGTCTCTACTTATGAAATTCGGAATGATGGCTTGGAATAGTACTTGTGGCAGTGATAATTGTTCTGGTCACGGTGAATGTCACAATGGAACTTGTCTGTGTGAGGTAAAATATTTATTGTATTCCTTTCAATAATAGATTCATATCTAACTCAATAAGTCCAGTTAAATGATTAGTTACATTATTATTTATGCAACGCATTTTATTTATTTTATTCAACATCTTAATTATATAGAATGAAAATCTTTATTAAAACAACTGTAAATAATGCTATTGATCAAAATCATTTTCTTTATTTAATTTATGTTATTAAAGAAATTATAGTTTAAAATACTTTATTACAGATCCAATTTGATGGAAGTGATTGTCACTCACCCAATTTTAGCTATTATGTAGCTTTCGCAACGATGTTTTTTATTCTGGCGTTTGTTTGTTTAACACAACTAGTTATGTGTATTATAGCTGAATGGCAGAAAATGAAAGCACCATCGTTTTTAAGAGCTTGTAGAGTTACTACTCAAAAAGTTCTTTATTTTATTGTTTTTTTAGCTACTGCAGTCCGAGGAGCTTACTTTACTTGTCCGGTAAAAAAATATCGACATCAACATTATTTGATTATTTGCTGCAAGAAATTCATTTTAATAACGATTACTTAATGATTTTCAGACAGCATTCAAAGAAAGTTGGGCAAGAACATTGTCATCTATTTATTATCCTCTTCTCTTAAGCGGATCATCTTTAATTGTTTGTTTTTGGGCTGAAGTATTTCACATACGTGACATACGAACTGATAAGCCACAATTCTTATCAAAATCATTCTTAGGATTTGTTGTTTTCAACATTATTACATACTCTTTACTTTTGGCTGAGCTAATCGTATCTCAAATGAATTCTGAAGTCGATCAAAGTTTTTACATTCACATTTTTAATGGCTGCTATGCGGTACTTTTGTTTATAGTCGTAGTGTTTTATTTAATCTATGGAGTTGAAGTATTTTTCAAGGTAAAGTTGACAAAATTAGTTATTAATTATTTTTATTTTTAAAAACACAAAAACAATTATATGTTCATTGCTTATGTTACTTATTTGTTTCTTTTTTTTCGTTTAGATTCGTGGAGGCTTTTTAACTCAGCATCCAGTTACTTCAATTTCTACAAACATACGCACACCCCAAAATGTTAAAAATGTTGAAGAGTCAGTGACTGCTAAACTTTTTGAACCGATTCCATCGACATCATCTGAACCAATTAATTTACAACAAGTTAATACTTCTCAACTGCATCAATCTCGATTTGGAATTTTATCACAAGCATTTATGCTCTTTGTTGTCGTTGGATTTCTCTTTAGTGAAACACTCAGCGAATTTTGGAAGACGAAGTATATTCTTTATACTATTATTTCAGTAACAAGTATACATTCTAATAAAAATATCGATTAATTAATTACAGAGTTCCTTTATACAGTCGTAACTGGCATAATATTCTTTTTCGTGTTATTGAAGTTGGAGTAGCTTTATGGTTTCCTTGTGTACTATGGAATTGTATGAGGTAGTATTTTCGAAAAAAACAATAACAATCCAAAATAACATCATTGAATACATTGTTGATATTTTCCATTTAATATTTACTTTGTTATTACAAATAGCCCAGAACAACTATGGATTCTTAATCCAAAAAGAATTCTTAAACGATTGGATTTAGATCAGTCAAAGTACACAAAAGAAATTGAATTGCAAGAAAAACGTGAACTTGTAGATACAAAACTACTATCTAGTAGTGGATCGCTCAATAGTAAAGATTGTTGGATTTGTTATGACAATGAGACTCAGGATGCTGGACCATTAATTCAACCGTGTCAATGTCGTGGTGATGTTAGTACCGTCCATCATGACTGCTTACGCAGATGGCTTGTAGAGGTATACATTTACTGGATCATTCTTGTTATTCAATAACATATTATTTTATTACTGAAAGATGATAATAAAATGTTTCTATTTCACATAGAGTTCAATGAATGCTGATAGTTTAATCTGTAAAGTTTGTGGTACGAAATATAATGTCGAACACGCAACTAGATTAGACTGGCAACATAGTTGGACTCCTCGTCATTGGATGCAAACAATTGCAATTATTACAACAATGTGTGGCACATTTGCTGGGGCTTGGATACTTATACAATTAGTAGAAAGTCCAATTATACGAATGTTATCTGCAGGTGCAGCTCTTTTGGTTATGTACGTCTGTATAAGGTATGAGTTTCTTATATCAAACAATAACTAAGAAAAGAGATATCTTTCTCGATTTGGTGTCTAATGTCACGTCCTCATAAGATTTTATTAGGAGGCGTGAGATTTGACCCCAAATCGAGACTACTCTTTCCTTGGTTCTGCTATACATTCAACAAGTCTAAAGTTTTTTAAAATTGTATTAATACACTGAAAAAATTACAGGTTATTGAGCTTAAATACAGTTGTTGCTTATCAGCGAGCTAAAATTTCTGCTCTTAATATAGTCAGTGCTGACAGAATTAACAAAAATGAGACTGTTAATACAGTTAGTAATACAGTTGCATTAAACTTGCCAAAAACCAATTCTGTAACAGTATGAATGAACGAAAATTTTGACTTTACTAAGTAGAGGTATTGATCATTTTATTTTTTAAGGGTTGTTAAAAATTTGAACAATTAGTTAATATTAACGTCAAATTACTAGTTTGTTAACCAAAAAATATATTTTTCAAACTCAGTAATCAATATTATTTTGTTATGATTATTATATGTCATGAAAAATCAATCGAGTATTACATTAATTTTAAAAATTTCATTTTTTCTTCATTCTCAATATGATGTATTTTTAAATCATTAAGATTTGATGAAATAATTATTTTTTAACAGCAATGACTAAAAATTTTAATGACCGAAGTCTCAAATCAAATTTTTTAATGTCTATCTAATATTTATTAATCAGCTATTATCTTTTAAATTTAAAAATTTTTGTATTAAAATTTCTTTTGTACTACACGAATAAGACAAAAACATTTTTCTTGAAAGAAAAGTAAACTAGATATGCTCATTACTGTTATTCCTGATGGATTTGATGCAACTTTTTATCAACTTTGTAGCCATGGTCACAATGTGTGTAAAAAACGGTTAGTTAACTGATGTGCAATGTTTAAACAACTGTTAATCTTATTAATGCAACCTTTCTCTTCTAAAAAAAATGAAAAGTAACGTTTCCAAAAAAACAACTCTTAATTACAATTAAGTCAATCAATAAAATAATACGTCTATGATAAGTTGATATAAAGGTAAACTCATAGTTATGGTTAACTCATAGTTGATAAATCGTACATGCTAATCGTTGATTTATAGTCAATTGTAGGAAAAATACCATAAAATAATTCAAACTAGTTGAACTATTTGGCTAAAATAGTGAATCATAATGAATATTTTAGTTTAGTATAACTAGTTGTAAGCTAGTTAGCTGATAGTAATAATGTAATGTAATTTATTCAATATATTTATGAAGATTGGCAATATTGGAGTTAATGCTAAGATGAAGAATATTCGTAATATTGTGTGTCGAAAAAATTATTAATGAAAATCATAAAAAAAATAAATCGTAATATCGTTACAATCCTAGAATTCTGTATGATTCTCTATTATATAGTTCAATGAACATTGTTATTGTCGTATTTTTAATTTTGTACCATTTTCTGTAAATTAAAAGAAATATTGTTAAATATTATAACTGTATGTTATTATTAGGGTTATATATAAGGAGAAAAAGTTTTTTTATTTAATATAAAAGATGAAGCATAACTTAAAATAATAAAAAATGTACATAAAGACTTATTTCTATTAGATACTGCAAATAATTTCGGATCTGATTAAATAAGAATTTATTAAGCCCAATCTCAATTATAAGACTTCTAGATATATCGGGAATAATTTCCAATACAAACTATTCATTTCTAATAGACATTATAGAGATTCCAACAGAATCCGATAAAAAATATTATTTTATAATTTTTATTCTTTAGATAAGAAAAAAAAACATATTCACAAGTATGACTTAGTTGTAAACTTGTTTATGGTAAATATGCAAATTAAAAATTGACAATAACAATGAACAAATAATAAATATTGGTTCTATTTCTAAACCTAGTTTTCCAATAGAATCTGTTTATTCCTGGTAAAATACAATAGAGATTCTCATAGAATTTAATTTAAAATATATTCCTTTTTTTTATATTATTGAAGATAATTAGCAACTATGTACTCGTATAATATCATTTACAATTAATAAAAAAGACTAGAAATACGATAATTTGTAATAAATAACTATTTAATAATTGTCAATTATCTATTCTTCTGAGTCCAAATTTCCAATAGAAACCAATTTATTTCCAATTGAGATTTTGGCGGAATTCCTCATAGATTCTAGTAGAAATATTTTTAGTGGTTTTTTTGTTTAAGGCTGGGCTGAAGTCAGAAAGGCGACTGATTCCCCCTATCCAAATACATGGGATCGGGAAATTTCTAATTTCTTCGCCAATTTACTATTATTTCTATAAAATTAGGTACCAAATTACAGAGGAATTAATGCCGGACTGACGTAAACAACAATTTTTTGTATATAGCGAATATTTTTATTAAAAAAATTAGAAAGAATCATGAAAAAATTATGAATTGACTTGCCGCGCTTAAATTTCAAGATGGCGGCCACATCATTCAGATGAAAAATCACTAATTATTTCATTTTTATACGTTTTTCGCCCGAAATTCGTGTTTGCGTCAGTCCTTGCCACCTGTCTGAATGTCAAAAAAATCAATTCATAGTATAAAATTGAATAATTTAGAAATAATTAGAAATCTTGTATTCCAGATGATATTCTCCGGAAAATTAGTTTGAAAAAATTCTGATAGGTGACAGCATTATGCTCGCAGATGACCTCAGTCATCCATATTGAAAAAATGCTCAATCCGTATCCAGAACTGATGGTGCCCTGCATTTTGGTGAGTAATTTGTGTATGAGTGTGTACGGGTAATATATGTATGTATGCATATATGAATATGGAGTATTAGATATATGATGTGATGTAAACATAGTGTATCACTTTACAATGCCCTACACTTTGATGACTATTGCAGTTAGGATAAATGAAAATGATGATACTCATTTAACATTAATTAATATAATACCTGCAAATAACTTCAAATACATATATTCATCCATTATTATCATTTTTATTAGGTATAAATGTTAATAAGGAAGCTCAATTCCAAGTCGGCGTATCCAAGCATGTAGTGTAAAAACAAATATACATTAACTCAATATCGAGATTATGCTGGCCATGTGGTTAGGGCGTCAGAGTTCTATTTTGCCGGGCAGGGTTCGATCCCAGTCATAACCAATTTTTTTTTTCTACTTTATTCGTTAGATTAGCATGTAATTATAATATTGACATGCTATAATTAATCTTTTATAACAATTTGATTTTTTTTTCTCTTTATTCATTGAATTTATTGACGCTAAGTCGAAAAATATTTGAACAGAGCCATAAACTTTCTTTTTGTATAAATACATTGATAATAGCCTGTGTTTAACAACTTATACATCTTTACATGTATTAACAATGTTATGTTATTAACAAGTTAATCATATTATTATCAACATTGAAAAGTAGTTTAAACAATCCGTGGCGAGTTCCGGCACTTCGCTGGCAAGCTCTACCCCCACTCTCTATGCCCAAGCCTGCAGCTTATAATTTTTAAGCATATATAAATGTTATGTAATCATATAATAGCTCGGTTGTTAGCGCATCGGTCTTTCATTTTGATGGGCAGGGTTCGATTCCAGTCATGGTAGTTTTTTTTTTCTTTTTCATTTGTTAGATTTGCATGTAATTATAATATTAACATGCTAAAATGAATTCTTACCAACGATTTGATTTTTTTTTCTCAATTATTTATGTAATTTATCGACGCCGAGTCGGAAAACATATGAACAGGGTTATAAACACTTTTTTTACTATAGCTATATGAACGTAGCTTTTTTTTAAGCAATTTAGAAATATTTAGAAGTAGTTGAAATAATCCACGGGGATTTCCGGCACTTCGCCGGCAAAGCTCTATCCCCACCTTTCGTACTCAAGCCTGCATTATACAATTTATAAACATAAACATAATGTCAGAGATGATGTGTTAGCTCTGTGAGTAGAACACCAACCTTTCATTTTACCGATTAGGGTTCGATCCCAGTTATAGCCAATTTTTTTTTTTTCATTAAAATTTTATATAAATACAATAATTGGTTGTTTGTATAAGCTCAAAATCAATTCCTATTGTCTTTTAAAGATAACATTTTCTAAAAAAGAGAATTCATAGTAACTCGTTCCTCACCCTCAGCTTATTTTCAGAAAAACAAGTTTTTTTTCGTAATTAATTGGAAGAATAATTTAATCAAATATATGAATTAATTTATAAGTATATAAAGTCACTTGAACAAGAAACAGAAAAAAAAATTGCCTATGACTGGGATCGAACCCTGCCCAGCAAAATAAAAGGTGGGGCTCTAACCACTGAGCTATTATAGTTCCAATTATATAAACGATGCTTGAAAATTATAAGCTACAGGCTTGGGCACAGAAAGTGGGGGTCGAGCTTGCCGGTGAAGTGTCGGAACTCGCCGCGGATTGTTTAAACTATTTTTTATTGTTAATAAGTTGTCAAAAAAGGCTATTATCAATGTATTTGTACAAAAAAAGGTTAATGACCCTGTTCAAATATTTTCTCATTTGTCATTGATTAATTGAAAAAAAAATTTTACATAAAAATTGAAATTTAAAACTCATTTTTGGCATGATAAAATTGCAATTACATGCAATTTAAACATTTTTCCGCAATTGGAATCGAACACCGTTCGGTAAAATAAATGTCGAACTTTCTAACTACAGAGCCAGCATATTTTCATTTACTTTGTTTACGTTTAGATATCGTAAGCTTCAGGCTTAGTAACAGAGGGTGGGGAATGTGCTTGCTCGTCAACTGTTTGAACTCGCAGTCTGCTCTGAAAAATAAGACGGAGATAGATAGATATATTTTGTGCTCTGTCTTGCTCGGAACAGATTATTCTGAAATTTGTAAATTTCTTGGTACCCTAAGGCTCCCTTTTTGTAGTGCATCCCTGAAAATTATCATTTTTCGAACGATTTCTCTGTTACCTACTCAATTTCAATTGATATCGAGCTTCGGCTTTTCGCCGCACAACGTGAGGGCGTAAAGTCAACTCCGGGAAACTTTCTGACTTCAGCCCAGCCTTAAGTTTTTTTTTTCTAATTAAGGGCTGGGCTGAAGTCAGAAAGTTTCCCGGAGTTGACTTTACGCCCTCACGTTGTGCGGCGAAAAGCCGAAGCTCGATATCAATTGAAATTGAGTAGGTAACAGAGAAATCGTTCGAAAAATGATAATTTTCAGGGATGCACTACAAAAAGGGAGCCTTAGGGTACCAAGAAATTTACAAATTTTAGAATAATCTGTTCCGAGCAAGACAGAGCACAGAATATATCTATCTATCTCCGTCTTATTTTTTAGAGAAGAGTGCGAGTTTGAACTGTGTTATCAAGCCTGAAGCTTATGATATCTGAACGTAAACAAAGCAAATGAAAATATGCTGGCTCTGTAGTTAGAAAGTTCGACATTTATTTTACCGAACGGTGTTCGATTCCAATTGCGGAAAAATTTTTTTTTTTTGTTTAAATTGCATGTAATTGCAATTTTATCATGCCAAAAATGAGTTTTAAATTTCAATTTTTATGTA